TCTTGAGAACAGAGATTTATTTAAATATTTCCAGGTAAGGCATTTTTACAATACGAAAATAAAAAAAGGTGTTCCTCCAGAAGGTAATACTATTGTGAACATTTTTACGAAAGCTTATACTCACCTCCCTTGTAAAACTGTTTCCAAACTATATAAAGGGTTGCAGGAACATAATGGAAATAACACCTTAAACATTAAGTCTAAATGGGAAAGAGAATTGGGAGTTATAATTACAGAGGATGATTGGCTTTCAATGTGTGTGACACAACAGACATCTACTAGTTCCAAAAGATGGAGGGAATTCGGATGGAAGTGCTTAATCAGATACTTTATTACACCTCAAATTACTAGTAGATATAGAGGAGAAGAACAACAATGTTGGAGACAGTGTGGTCATCAGAACGCCAACCACTCTCATGTATTTTGGTCCTGCCCAAAGTTGGCAACTTACTGGGATGGAATCTGTCAGACAACTGGGATAATTTTGGGGTATGCAATCCCCAATGACCCTAGAATTTTTCTGCTGGGATTGATGTCTGGAAAAGTGTTTCAAAAAGAAGATCAGTACCTTTTTAAAGTTCTGTCAATTGCAAGCAAAAAAGCAATTACACGGTCTTGGCTAAAGAAACTGCCACCCCAGCTGGACCACTGGCGAGATGTCGTGGAGGAGATTCACTCTATGGAAAAACTGACATATCTTTTACGTATGAAAGGTCATTCATACAACAAACGCTGGTCTAAATGGCTGACGTACAAGAGCAAGGAAGCATAACTAGGTGTATCATCTTGTAATGTATTATTTTGTTTCTGTCTTTCTACTTATCTAAGTATCAGTGCCCCAAGTTCTGTGTGTGTTGTATGTTTTATTGTAATGAAAAATGTTAAATAAAGAGTATAAAAAAAAAAAAAGTTTTCCTAAATCATTATGGTAATCTGAATGCTAACATGTATGGTGTTTTCTGTTTTTCTTTAATAGACAGTGATGGTGATGTTTCAAACCTGTGTCTTGGCTTTATTAATAGTTGATTCAGGAAGTATTTGCAAATAGGTATTGATGTAAATTTTAGTCTATTATCAGCTAGAAATCTCTAAAAAGGGCATCCATACTTTAAGGTTTTCCAGTTTCATTTCACACACATCTCCTCATATGCACTTCACTCCACAGCCAGGTGGAAACGGACACAGATTAGCCCAAGGCAGCAGGGTGGTGACTGTGAGATCTCATGAAGACGTTCTCCACCACTGACAGTCTACCCCCCCCTTTCTTAGAAACGGGAAGCAGAGCAGAGCTGCCAGTGAACAGTGATCAGATGGGATCACAGAAAATTCCTACAGCTTCGATGCCATAAAATCCCACGGACACACTTGGTATAAATACTTAAAGACACTGCTTTCACAAACAGGTTTTCAGGCACAACAGACAGCAGGGAAAAGGCAAGTGATCCTCTCAGTGCTCTGTAGCCTAATAGACTTTAAAATAATTCAGCTTGCAAGCAGTTAGTGTAAATCATGCAGTCATGACGGGTTTTACACCAAATTCATTTGCATGTAGACATGTTCATGGTGTTTCTCTTATGACAGTTGGGATTCATATCTGTTTGATGTTTGATTCCCCAGCCAACTTAACAGGTGATGTCTTATTTCCTTTTAAATTTACACCCAATTTATTCATCTCTGCCCATTTCCAACACTACTGAATGAAAACCAAAGGTTTGGGCTCTGATATTACACAAAAAAGCCATGGCTACTGAATGCTATGAACTGAATGAACAAGGCGGAGTCAAAAAAAGTGTTGTGACTGTGGGATTGAGATGCAGAGCAAAGAAAGACTATAGAGGAGGGTACTTCCATTTAGGCACTTGAGGTCCGGCTTCCAGCACCTTTGGGATGCATCTCCGATCAAAAGTTAAAAAATCAGGTGATTAGCAGGATTCCAGGCAACCTGACTGCAAACTAAGGATGTAAATCACATGTTTGATTAAGGTGTGTAGAAGTAGGGACCTATCAGGACATGAGGATGGACCGTTGCAATAACCGCTTTAGCTACACCTAAGTCGTAGAAGTCAGAAGCATTTGACCTGAACTAAACAGGAAAAGATCCAGACTCTCTCCAGATGACTGGAAGTAATGTTTAGTCATTCCAAAACTTAATTCTAAAATTTATTTTAAAACCCTTAAAATGATCCCTTCAGACCGAGTGAGGTCAGGAGCTGAATTCGGATTTTGAATTGAAAAAGCTTCCTGGATGGGAAGCGAAATGTCCTTAAACTTAGAAACAAAAGCCAGTGGTTTGTTTTTCAACTTTTTTTGGAGTCAATATCCAAGAGTCTGGGGGAAGTAAGGGGAGGCCCAGGAGGTCCAGTGTATTATCCCTGCACTCAGTGATGGTGGAGATACTGATTTCATTTTCAGCAGTACCCCGCTGCCTAAAGTAAAATATGTAAGCATTGTATTAAAGTGTTGAATTATCAGCATCAACATCATCTGTGGGGTTTAGTTTAAGAAGAAGAGATGTCAGATGCAGAAGATCTGAAGGTCAAAGGCGAATCAAAGTCCTTAAAATGAATCCAAATAACTTCAGTTTATCACCAAGGGTATGCATGGCAATCAAAATGAGTTTTCAACGTATGAACCCTTTTGTCATATTATAAGTTAGTGAGATCTATCTACATAAAAAATATAAAAACTAAATGTGTTTAAGAAATGAACACATGATAAAATCATTTATTCACACCTCCTTATTCAGCTCTCATCAGTTCTGGCTTCCCTGGGTCTATCCGGAGAAGCATAACACCATCTGTGAGGAATATTTAGGAGGCTCTGAGTGAAAATGAAGCTGGAGAAGCTTGTCCCACTTTTCTTCAAAGAACAAACGCCTCTTTCTGCTACAGCTCTCAACTCTGGGAAAAAATAGAACAAGGCACCAGATTCGATAACGCTTCCAAATCACCAGCAAAAGGAAACGGTTTCTGTGAGTGAAGAATGTCTCTCTGGCTCCTCATTAGGGGTTTGGACAGCATCAGGCTGATAGTGACGGCAGGACAGGCTCTTTTTTAACTAATGATTTAAGTAGCACTTTTTTTCCCAGGCCTGCTATGAGGTCTCTGGAAAATGGTTGTTCTGATCCAAAAGTCTGGCTTCACTTTGGATCCTTTACAAAGCTGCCTTCTATTCCCCTCGTTTTCAAACATGACAGACTTTGGTAAAGGGACAAAAACACAAGGTTTTTCACATCATTTCTGTTTCACTGTGTAAAAGAAATCAGTCCCTTGGATTTGCTGTTTGAAAACAAACAGCAAATCCAAAAGAACTTTAATCCGGAAACAACAATCTTCTAACATGCAGAAAATATATGTATACAAAACAAAGGGAAGCAGCAGAGAGTGATGGATACTGGGGAGAGCTGAGGGGATGGGGGGTTCACCATGTCCCACACCAGTCTACCTTCCAGGTGAATGACAGCAGAGGCAGACAAGAGAGGATGTCTGTGGGAGAAATGCTTTACAATAAACAGCAGCTAAAACAAGCAGCTCTACCTGTTCACCTGGAAACAATATCTGACCCCTTAATCACTACTGTGAATGAATGAATGAATGAATGAATGAATGAATGAATGAATGAATGAATGAATGAATGAATGAATGAATGAACAAATTACCTTTTATCAGACAAAGTAGTAAACCATTTTTTTACTGATTTAACATGCAAATGATAAAATTAATGACATATAAAATCATTAGAAGTATAATGCATTTACAGTTTATATCTGAAAAGGAGATTAAAGTAGTGCAACTGGTTTAACCATACTTGTTAAACTTCCTATAGTGCATAATACCAGCAATATTCCTGATTCTTATCCCTGTTATCTGGTGTTACTGGACCATACTGCTCCAAAAGTCCAGTAAATAAAATAAGTAAGGTTATCTACATATATATATATATATACACATATACATATATATATACATATATACATATATATATATATATATATATATATATATATATATATATATATATATATATACATATATACATATATATATATACACATATATATATATATATATATATATATACACATATATACATATATATATATATATATATATACACATATATATATATAATTAAACATACAAATGTATCACATTTAAAGAATAATAATTAAGATAAATCACTTTTAATGCACTGTTATAACTGAAGTTGTAATAAAATATTTTTCCCATTTTTCATAGAAAATTGCCAATATGGTTTAATCTATATGCTAATATTTTATTGATCAATCTCCAAAGAAAAGACAGTGGAATTGAACAAAAAAATAAATAAAATGTTTGAAAATAACTCATTAAAACTTGGTTTATAACTTAGAATGTTTCCATCCACCCTTTGGTTTGGATGAATGCTGGTAGCTGTGGTGCTCCAAAGGGCACAACGCCATCTGGCAGGAGGAGGGGGAATCAAACACTCAACTTTTAAAGGTGACTATCAATTGACCTCGTAACTTGGTGTTTAAACACCAAGATATGGTGGTCTCTAAAATCAAAGGGTATTAAAGAGTGAGCCAATGCCTGGCTTTGACTCTGATGCCATACTTTAAATGTGTCTGGTAATTCTAACCCAACATTTAGTCTGAATAGTAGGAAATCGCTAGTTTGTGTGAGTGGCTATGGGTGAAGGCTAAATATACTGCAAGACATTGGTCAAATAAATGTTAAAAGCCATCGGGGAAAAAGATGGACATATTTGTTTGCTATTGTCTAACCTGGAAAAACCTCTTTCTTATTATTTTTTTTTTTTTTCAAGGACAAGAAAAAAAGTATGTATGATAACATAATACCACAAAGCATCCTAGAAGCTGCAGCTCGTTTTCTGAGCTGATCAAATATACACAACACCTCTTCTGCAGAACTACCAACCCGGAAAATGCCAACAAAACACAGATGGATAGGGGAACGTGGACACACATGCATGTTCACAGTCAACAGACGCTAACTCACGGTGCAATGAATCAGGCAGCAGCCGCACCGGCAGCCATGGAGTCCTGGATGATGGAGGAGAGATAACTTACAGCTGGAGCCTGTGGATGACAGAGAGACACAAGGCAGAGGTTTTTCAGATGATGAGATGAAATTAAAGACAAAGTTGGAGGGAAGAGAGACGCTCTTTTTGTGAAACAGACCCTAGTTTAGTGTCAGAGGCATTCAGGGTTCAGGCTCAACATTATATAACAGATCTCAGACACATATTTTGCTACCAATGTGTTAAAGCACATAAAAACCTGCCTGTGGTCATACCCACAGCAGCTGACTTCACTGTAAGCAGCTCGTTGTCCTGTGAATAAGCTGAGACCTTCTAATGTTAAAATCTGGTAGATAAATCTCTATAGCTGCATAAAACAAGCAGAATTCCTCTAATGAGATTTTTATTGTTTTGCAATGTGCTCCAATTCTGCATGAAAATCACATTTTAACAAAGCTCTGCATTTTCAGATCTCAGATTTACTGATAAGTTTAACATTCAAGGAGCACTGTCTCCAGTTTGTGCAGAAGAGCTGCTTCTGCATCAGAACCCAAAACAAAAGCGACTGGGTGAAAAGCATCTTTGGGGGCGGTTTGGATTTTAAGGCAGCACAATACTCTGGATAATGTGTCACTTTAAACTGTGCCTATCTTTGACAATTCACAATGCTGAGGAAACAAAGAACAGCGGATTCCTTTCCGCTTTGTTCTGGTGCGACTGTGCTGAAAATAAACTAGACAGTAACAGCTTTCCTGATCCAGTTGGTGGGTTTAATGCCAGCTGTGAGGAGGAGACATATTCTTTAATGGGCAAACTGAGACTGCTCAGCCCATCAGCGAATCCCATCCTCCTTTTGTTTATGGATCAGTTGGAAGTTTTTGTATTTGATGCAGAACAAGTCGCTCCATGTGAGTTGCTATGCAACAGCATAAAAAAATGAACAAACAAGCCAAAACAAAGAAGCATTACCCTGATTTTAACATTTTCATTAATGTTCCACATTAACCGTTTTATTTGCAATACAATAGCTACAGTCGTCCCGAAGGTTTCGGCTTCGCTGTTAGAGCTAACTTAATTTCTTCTGGATAAGAAAAATGTACTGGCCAAATATGTAAAAGAATAAAAAGCCTGTGGAAGGTTAATTTAATGTAAACTGTGAGAGCAGCGGGCAGTACCCTTGAATTAAGGCAGGAATATGTGTTACTAGGTTTCACGATAAGAGCTGACGATGTTCAGGGCTGGTTTGGATTTGAATGCTAGTCAACAATCCAACATAATTGTGAGGGAAAATAAGGAACGAGTCATAACTTTTATTTTCTGTGGTGATTCTTGATATGGCTCACCATCTGGGGGAGCATCAGCTGGGGGGCAGCACATGAACTACTGCCATCAACACCTTCGTTTATAGATGTTGGAGATCGGCCTGTTTTTCAGTGTAGTCCTGTTTCTCTGACTGTGACTGGCTGGATGTGCTCTCTATCCTCTGACATGGGAGTTGGCTCAGAGCTTGTGGTTCTGCTGGAGGTTTCTTCCTGTTAAAAGGGAGTGTTTCCTCTCCACTGTTACTACAAGCATGCTTAGGGTGAGGGATTGCTGAAGAGTCAATGAGTCGATGCAATCAACTGGTTTTCCTTAGATAGAAAATCAATTTGACTGTACGATCTGCTGAACTGTAAAGTGCCTTGAGATGACGTGTTGTGAATTGGCACTATATAAATAGACTGAATTGTATTAAACTAGCAATTATGGGAGAACAAGTTTGCTGTAGCTTATGTGCAGTTATCTGCTGCTCCATGACTGACAAATTAGGATTTCGGTTAAATTGAATTTGAAGCTTCCAATGCAGAAGAAGCAATTTACCCTGGGTGCCATAGAAAACCTTTACAGGACAATAGCTTTTTTAAATTTCACCAGCATGTAAAAAAATTATTTTTGCATTAAAATGATAAGTTATCTGTAAGGTTATGTGCAATAAAACATTCAGGAAAAGTTCTCCACACATCAATCAAACTCAGTACTTATTTGATTTGAATCATTTATGCAATACAGCTAATCTCATTAAAATATACACTATATTGCCAAAAGTATTTGCTCACCTGCCTTGACTCACATATGAGCTTAAGTGACATCCCGTTCCTAATCCATAGGGTTCAATATGACGTCGGTCCACCCTTTGCAGCTAGAACAGCTTCAACTCTTCTGGGAAGGCTGTCCACAAGGTTTAGGAGTGTGTTTATGGGAATTTTTGACCATTCTTCCAGAAGCGCATTTGTGAGGTCGCACACTGATGTTGGACGAGAAGGCCTGGCTCTCAGTCTCCGCTCTAATTCATCCCAAAGGTGTTCTATCGGGTTGAGGTCAGGACTCTGTGCAGGCCAGTCAAGTTCATCCACACCAGACTCTGTCATCCATGTCTTTATGGACCTTGCTTTGTGCACTGGTGCACAGTCATGTTGGAAGAGGAAGGGGCCAGCTCCAAACTGTTCCCACAAAGTTGGGAGCATGGAATTGTCCAAAATGTCTTGGTATGCTGAAGCATTCAGAGTTCCTTTCACTGGAACTAAGGGGCCAAGCCCAGCTCCTGAAAAACAACCTCACACCATAATCCCCCCTCCACCAAACTTTACACTTGGCACAATGCAGTCAGACAAGTACCGTTCTCCTGGCAACCGCCAAACCCAGACCCGTCCATCAGATTGCCAGATGGAGAAGCGCGATTCGTCACTCCAGAGAACGCGTCTCCACTGCTCTAGAGTCCAGTGGCGGCGTGCTTTACACCACCGCATCCGACGCTTTGCATTGCACTTGGTGATGTATGGCTTGGATGCAGCTGCTCGACCATGGAAACCCATTCCATGAAGCTCTCTGCGCACTGTTCTTGAGCTAATCTGAAGGCCACATGAAGTTTGGAGGTCTGTAGTGATTGACTCTGCAGAAAGTTGGCGACCTCTTCGCACTATGCGCGTCAGCATCCGCTGACCCCGCTCCGTCAGTTTACGTGGCCTACCTCTTCGTGGCTGAGTTGCTGTCGTTCCCAAACACTTCCATTTTCTTATAATACAGCTGACAGTTGACTGTGGAATATTTAGGAGCGAGGAAATTTCACGACTGGATTTGTTGCACAGGTGGCATCCTATCACAGTTCCACGCTGGAATTCACTGAGCTCCTGAGAGCGACCCATTCTTTCACAAATGTTTGTAAAAACAGTCTGCATGCCTAGGTGCTTGAATTTATACACCTGTGGCCATGGAAGTGATTGGAACACCTGATTCCAATAATTTGGATGGGTGAGCAAATACTTTTGGCAATATAGTGTATTTCTCAATACCAAACAATAACCCACTACAGCAATGACAGCATTATGTCAGTTATGCAAATAGTTTCATCAAACCGTCCTAACCTTTTTCAAACTATTGTGGCCTCCTGTCGTGAGTCGTTGCAAGGCCTTTTGAACACCTCAGCAGATTTCCATCAAAGTACATGGTGTTTACAGGTGCCATTGCATGCATGTCCTTGCCTCTGAACTCTAAACCACAATGCGGTTTAGAGTTCAGAAAAAAAAACCCAACAGCAGCTGGTTCAAGTAATCCATCTGCTACCTGTTAAATTCTCTTCAGCAGTACTCACAGCTCTGTCATGCCATTAGCCCAGCTCCTCTGAGGAGCACACTTCCAGGGATACCATGAGCTAAGGTTGCTGCTTTTATAGTGGATAGCAATAATAGCAGCTTGAACTGTTAAATTGCATACTTAGACAAGAGCAGGCTTTTAATTGGCCGTCTTTTTTTTTTCAAATGCTTTAGAGGTTTAACAATAAACTCCCTGGTTAGTGATAAAGGCTGTTTTAGTGTCTCTGGTGCATGCAGAAAAATTAAGTCTCCAGCTGGTCTTATGATTCAGCCTCCAGTGTCGTTTCACTGCAATCACAGTTTATTTGTTGAAAGGCTAAAAGTCACCAGTCTATCAGATGTAATGCTATTCAAGATTTTTAGATTTACTGATGCCCTTGGTTTACCCTGAGGTTTAAGGTAGAATATATAATTAATATGCTGACATCTGTGAAACCTGGAAGTCTAACTCTGACATTGTCAAAAAATGTGAAAAAGAAAGGATTATCAAATGTGACAAATTGTTTAAGTAAATGTATTTCTTTATTTCCATTTCAGTTCCCAAAAAAAGATACATCAATGCAAATGACCCTCTAACATATTTCCTTTTAGATATTTTTTGGTTTGAGAGTATGGCAACATGTCTAATGGACTGAAAAATCCCCATGATGCGAATGAAAGAATGCTGGTCAGAACAAAACATCCATGACACGGCATGACAAGATCAGAACGAGGAAACTGCAAAATTTGAAATGATGAGCAGGAGAACTTCAGCAGCAGTACTTTCCACCCATCGGCTTAAGGAGCCAATAGGTGTTAGCTGAAATCAGCTGCTAGGAGGCTAAGCAGCATTTATGTACCACCAGAAGTGCGCTGTTCTGAGCCGTTTAAGCTAAATAAAAAAATGTCCAGTTCCAGTCACAGTAAGAGTCATCTGAACATCAGAGACGAGCCCCTTGTGAAAACATGGTGCTTTCTTAAAGCTAGCAACTGGACCAAAAAAATACCAGTAGGAAGGTGTCTACCACCATAACTTAAGTTGGTATGGTTCATACTTTAAATCATATGAGATTACCTGAGGATTATGCCTACTTGAAATTAGGATTAAGGTACAGGGACTCTAATTCTAACAATTTGTCAATCAGACGTAGCTTTAAGGAGCGATCCACCATGTGACTGCATGCCTTCAGCTAGACATCTGTTGTTCAAAGGACAGTTATCTTCGTGATAACAATACTTATTCAACCTTTCTTACTCAATGGCTGCGCAAGAAGGTGAGCCCAGTCGCTTCCAAAAACCTCAGAAAAACAGCACAAGCTTTTAAGTCCCACAGCCCAGTTTGCCCCCCAAAGCCTAAAATCTATGATCTAGATGTTTTCAGAGATTACAGAGTAAGCTTGTTTTAAAGGCCTGTTTTTTTTTTGTTTTTTTTACATGGTGTGTTCAAGAT